CATTCCATTGAGCCTGCACCCTTGAGTTCCCTCCCTAAAGCCCATAACTTCAGTCTAATTATGAGGAAAACTTCGACTAAGCCTATACTAAGGAACATTCTGTAAAATACTTGACCAGTACTCGTAAAAAAAAAAAAAGGTCATCAACAACAAGGAAGTCTGAGAAACCATCGTAATCTACAGAAGCCTAAGGAGTAGGATGATTAATAATAATATGACCTCTTGGATGGGACCCTGGAACAGATAAAAATAAAGAAAATCCAAATAAAGTATAAAGTAGGTAATAATAATGTACAATATGGGTTCATTGGTTGTGAAAAATATACCCATATTAATAGATTAATGGGGGAAACTGAGTATATATACCTAGACTCTCTGTACCATCTTTGAAGCTTTTCTGTAAATCTAAAGATCTTCTAAAAGAAAAAGTTTATTTAAAGAAAAGAAAGAAAGTAGAGGAAATTCTCATACGTTACTGGTGCAAATGCAGAATGGTATGGTCATTTTGGAAAACGGTCTGACAGTTGCTTAGAAAATCAAACATAGAGTTACCTTATGACTTAGCAATTCCACAACTTGGTATTTCACTAAGTGAAATGAAAACCAGTGCTCACACCGAAAGCAGTACGTGAAGACTTAGTAATGGCTTTATTCATAATTGCAAGAAACTGGGAACAGCCCAAACATCTCTCGGTAAATGAACAATGGCATGTCCATACAATGAAATGCTACTTAGCAATGAGAAGGAACAAGCCCCTGAGAATGCCACATGGATGAATCTCAACTGTGTTGTGATAAATGAAGGAAGTCAGACTCAAAAGGCTCTGCACTGTCTGAGTTTACTTACATGGCATTCTGGGAAAGGCAAAACTGAAGGCACACGTGGCAGGTCATGCTAGGAGCTGGAGATCGGGGGGACGGACTCCAAAGAGACATGGGGGGGGGTGGAATACTGAGTGAATTGGAATTGTTCCTTGTCCTGATTGTGGTTGTGGCTACACGACGCTGTATGTTCTTCACCGCTCCAAGAACTGCACGCTAATAAGTTGAATTTTGCTATATGCAAATTGTACCTTGATTAAAAATGGAAAAACAACTCAGGGATGATTGGCCACTTTTCAAAACTGCTCTCCACGGGATTTGTTTAAATAGTATCCTCACCTGCTGTACTTTCACTGCTCCCATTTCCAACTGCTCAGTCTGCCAAAAGGGCACTTTGGTGGTGGTACATGAATATCACTGTGCTGTTTGCTATTTGGAGACTTGGAAGTGGGAGCCACAGTCCAGGGACAAAGATCCAAGACAGCAGAGACAAAGAAACACAGATGACAGCTAGGCTTGTATCTTAACAACGGGGACATTAGCTAAGTGCTTCCTAATCACCTGCTTTTGATATAATTGTGAAACTGATGAGATCTTACTTTTGTACGGCGCCTCATAGCTTACAAAGCTCTCATAGCCATTCACTGATGTTCCACACAATGCCTCTGTCACTTAGGTGAGACAAGTGTTGTCACCTCCAGTGTTAAAAGGAGACAGAGTGGGGTGCCTGGGTAGTTCTGTCCATTGAGCATCTGACTCTTGGTTTCAGCTCAGGTCGCGATCTCAGGGTCATGGGTTCAAACCCCACATTGGGCTCTGCACTCAGAGCAGAGTCTGCTTGAGATTCTTCCTTTCCTTCTCTCTCTGCCCACCCCCCCCACTTGTGTGTGCACTTGCTCTCTCTCAAATAAATAAATAAAATCTTCTTAAAAAAGGAGAGGGAGGTACTGAGAGTCCTCACTTAGCTCTGTGTGCAGGTGCAAGGTTTGGCCCTCTCCATAGGTTGGTTACCAATCCATATAAGACACATGGTAATTTGATGTGGTATTACTATCTTATGTATTTTACAAACAAGAAAATAATTACTTTATAGATGATGAAACTGAGGTTCTAGGAATTTTCCGAGGTCACTTGATTAGTAAGTATTAGAGGCAAGAGTTAAAATCAGATGTTCAGCTTCCAAGCCTGCTTCTCTTTCTTTTATCCCATATGCTGGCAATGGGACTTTCCTGCATAGTGTATTTAAATTAATGGCATTTTGCCATGAATCTTCACCTCTTTAATGTGCCAGTGAGTGCGGAGTTTTTGTTAGCTTCCACCATCAGAGCTGGTTATTACACAGAAAGTGTGCTTTACTAACTGTCATCTTTACTAGTAACTTTGGGGGCTTGGAAGCAGTCTGCAATCTTTGTGTTTCTCTCAGCCCTTGTGTTTGGATAGTATCTGAATGTGTGAGAACTGTGTGTTTGTTGGAAGCTGTGACTTCCAGAAAAACAAAAAACAAAAAACCCAAAAAACCAAAAAACCTCATCAGGGTAAGCATGAGAGGGAAGCTGAATTTTCAACAAACACCAGAAATCTACATCAAAATGAGTCTTTTTCTCTCAGATAGCTGCTTTGAGAGGATATCCAATTCAGTTGCTTTTTAGTTGTCTTATTTTATTCAAAATAGTAATACCATGTGCCTTACCGGAATTAGCTCTGGAAATCCTTTTCTTTGATTCCTTGGTGGTCTCTGAGCTCCTTCTGGGCAGGGCTGAGCCTTCTCCCCTCTGTGTCCTCAGGGATCCAGAGCATGGCCCTCCAGGGTGTTCAGACTGTGTCTCTTGAGTGGAACTGAACCAGAACTCATTCTCCAGGACAGAGCTGTCACTGCAGGGTGGAGGCTGGTCCACAGACACCTTATCCCCCTTGACCTCTGGCCTGAAGAACCTGGATGACAACCATGCAGGAAGCCTTAGCCCAAACTATCTCAGATGCCTGACTTTGCCCATGGGTTTATTAGTCATTCTGCGTAATTGTACTTCTTTCTTTGAGCCCACTTCATCTTGGCCATATTTCCTGCTTCCCTTTCTGTCATTTCTTCCAGGACTGTCCAGCTCTGCCCTGGGGGCCACTCCAAGCCTCATCTCACCCTAACTGACTGGTTTTTCTCGCCCCTTCCCTCATGCCATGGACCGAACATAGGTTTTTCACCCCTCCTTGCCCTGCTCCTCAGTCAGAAGCCCCAGTAGGGATGAACTGGTAATGAATGGAACCTCTAACTGGATTTTTCCTGGATCACCACTGATATTTCAGAGCACCCCTGATTTGCTAGCCTTTAAGGCAGAACCTCTCATCTCTAGGCCAGAGAGCAGGAAAAGAGAGAATCATCAAAACCTTCCCTGTACTGAGGGGGCCTCAGGAAGAGCCCGCCGTGCTCTGCCATATTTCCATCCAGAATCCCTATTGAGTGTTATCATCCACCACTCAGCCTCAGTTTTCCTCATCAAAATCTTAGAGGAAAATATCACCAGTGTGAGTTAAACTAAGAATGAACACTGAAGGAGATAAGTAAAAGAATGCTCTTCCCTCTTAACGTTGGCTTAACTTAAAATATGAACGAGCCTTATTCCAGTCCTAAGAGAAATAAGTTTATATGCTCCCACCTATTCAGAATGGTTGCAACCTATAGTTACCTATTCTCACTATGTGATGGAAAGTCTGCTGGTCTCGGAGTCTAGAGCCTGAATTCTATCACGCCATCTATGAAAGCTGAGTATCGCTTGCTTATGTCATCTGGGAATGACAGTGCTAATCACTGAGTGGCTTCCGCCCTAACACTCACTTGCACCCCCATTATTGAGCCAGCCAGCCCTATGCTCAGTTCCAGCGTGCAGTGAGAAAGACACATCCTTCCTTTCTCAAGTTGCCCACAGGCTCACTCTCCAGATAACCCTCCCTCTCAAAGAGCAAGTGATTTCTGAAGCTTTTTGGTGCAAGTGTCCCTTCTGTCTCATTAGACTGTGAGCCCCCCAGAGCAGTGATCATATCCACTTTCTTCTGTTTCCCCGCCATGCCTGGCCCCAAGGTCTGCAAGTGGTGGGCACCCACTGGCTTTTAGAAAGAAGTCTTTCAAGCCAGGAGGGCTCTTAGCCTACAGTACAAGCTCTCAAAGGCTAGATGGCACTGTTGCTAGAGCCAAATCAGGTGTGTTGGGAAAGAAGGGGGAGGTGGGAAGAGAAACCAGAGCAGGAGGCCCTGGACTGTTGACTTGCTGAGTTTGACCAGACTTGTTACAGCGATGCGTGAGGACTCCTGCCAGCTTTGCTTCAATAGGTCTTCACCACAACCATGGTAACAGACAGGACACTGCACCCATTCTAACTTATAGAAAAGCAGCTCAGAGAAATCAAGTGCCCAGGCTCAAGTTAAATGGCAGCTAATGAGCAAGGATTTCTGCCATCTGTGCTTTGTTGGCATTGCCCTTTGCCCAAGGAGGATTGTGGTTGGTGGCATGGCTGTTCCAGGACAGTGGCTTGGGTGAACTGAACCTAGTCTGAGCAGAAAAGGTAGAGTTTGCAGACCTCTGCCTCAAAATGTTTACTTTTGTGACCAGGGGAGAATATAGTCATTTTGGAGGAAACAAATGATAACACATACAGGTTCTTTGAAGAACGGCAATTGTAGGTAATTTGTACACTCACTAGGATCTAAGGTGAATGGTTGATGTTTCATTTAAGGAATGAATTATTTTGAGATGCTGCTCTGTGGTTGGGTTCTATCTGTCATTTGTCCATTGCTTCATTATGTTTACAAGTTTCTCATTAAAATGAAACAAAGCAAATAAGACCATCCCGTGCAATAGGCAGGATGAGTGTCATGACTGTGCCCTTTTAACAGATGAAGAAATAGAGGGTCAGAAATGATCACATGGCTGATCACTGAAACTTCAGCTCAGTATGAGGCCAGAATCAAATCTTGTCCTCTTTGGAAAAACCATAGTTGTTCCAGGCTATGCAGAAATCACAAAATTAGGTGGGCTGTTGTGGATATGAAGAGTAAGGCGTCAGAGACTAGGAAAATACCTATTCAGAGTAATGAATGATTAAATATATGCAAATATGTGCAAATTTGAGAGAAAATTGATACATCTGTTGTTTGTGCCATCTGATTGTTTGTATTCTCCTGTTCCCCAGGATGATGAAGATAAGCTGACCTGGAAAGATCGTTTCCCGGGTTACTTGGTGAACTTCGCCTCCATCTTGTTCATGGTAATTTTCTTGATGGAACTCTTGCCTATGATTTATGCATGTGGATCCTGTAGAGCAAACGCTGTGGGTGTGTTATTCTAGCATGCTGTGGGGATAGTGAGGGGCTAGGAAAGATGAAGCCACAGTCCTGTCTAAACAGGGAGGATCTTACCTGATAGTGAGGCCTCTGTGGGTGTCAGCCACCTGAAGAGGGAAAGGTGATTCCCTCTGACCTGGGATGGGGGTCAGTGGCCTTGAATGGTTACAGAAGGGGGTTCTGTCTTCCCAGATAGAAGAGGGTAGGGAGGTTCTATCTCTCCAGCCCTGCGCACAGGGGTTTGAGGTCAGAACTTCCGGGGGTGGGCTGTGAGGTAATGCCTTCCTTGTTGAGACAAACCAAGACCTTGGAGGAGGTAACCCAGGTAAGATGACTGCAGAACTGTGGCGGCCTGTTCGGGCTATGGGCTGGATCTCCCTGAGGGTTTGTGGAATAGAACAGAGCTTGGAAACCACAGAGGACAGCCAGCGTGGGCTCTGCGTGAGCCTGATTCTTTAGCTCCCCTATAGTTGCTGTTTTTATTTCCCTGTGTTCTCCCTTAGAGTTTGGAAGAGCCTTTTCAAAAGACCCACATGGGTCTCAGCTATGTCAGGGAAGATGAGGAATGGGTTTGTGATTCATGTTCAAGTCAGATCAGTAAAGTAGTAACAGGTCATTCTTGGGAGCCAGGATGGGTGAGACAACAGTGAGTGGAGCAAGAAGGCCCCAAGAAGGTGAAACTCAGAGGACTAAGCTTGGGTCCCTGAGACCCCTGCCCCCGCTTTATGGGTAGATGCCTCCTGGTACCAAGGCTGGAACTTCTGTTTTACAAAAGAGTGCTATGTCCTTATAACATTTCTAAGCAGGACTACACATTAGTTGTAGGGTTGGGGGAGGATTGCTTATTCTGGGACTGAAATCATGATCATTTTCTGGACCTACTTACCAGCGTTACCCCCTGGCCCTGACCCGAGGTTATTATTGCTGTTGTGATCATTGAGAACAGGAGCCATGTCTTAGTCTCAGAGATTTAAAAAAAGAAGGAATCCTAGGCACCGTCTATTTCAGCATCTCATTTCACAGATGAAGGACAGAGGTGATGGGTGCCTTGCCAAAATTGAGAAGTCTGCATTTGTTACCTTCTCATTGCTTAACAAGAGCAAGGCATGGAGAATTTATTCAAGAATATGTGGTGAATCGCAATGTGTTAAGCTGGAATGATGTAAAGTTTAATTTAGGATTTCAAAGCCTCCCACAATGTGCATATTGTTGTCAAAGAGTTTATTCACTCATTCAAGAAATATTTAACTGGGGGTGCTTGGCTGGCTCAGTTACTGGAGTGTGTGACTCTTGATCTTGGGGTTCTGAGTTCAAGGCTCATGTTGGGTGCAGAGGTTACTTAATATAAAATCTTTTAAAAGAAATTTTAAAAATATATTTAATGGGTGCCAAGTATATGCTTGACAGTGTTCTTAGGCATTGGGGATAGAGTAGAAAATAAAATAATCTCTCTAAGGAGTTCAAAGATAGCAAATACGCATATAAATAAGGAAACTGATAAGTAAAATAGACTTCTATCTCCAGTAGCGGTAGGTTAGGATATTTGTAGCATCCCATCTTGCTGAAAATAAGAAATATTGGGTGAATATATTTTTCATTCTTCTTAAAGCCTTGAAGGACTAATAGGTCAGTAAAGAATACTAGGCTATTCCTAATACAGATCCATCTAAGGGAAATGGAACCAAGGAGACAAATACCTGGGCATTAATATTGCTTTTGCCTTGGGGCGCCTGGGTGGCTCAGTTGTTAAGCGGCTGCCTTCGGCTCAGGTTATGATCCCAGGGTCCTGGATAGAGCCTCACGTCGGGCTCCCTGCTCAGTGGGGAGCCTGCTTCTCCCTCTTCCTCTGCCACTCCCCTTGCTTGTGCTTGCTCTCTCCCTCACTCTCTCTCTCTCTTGCTGTCAAATAAATAAATAAATAAATAAAATCTTTTAAAAAAATACTGCTTTTGCCTTGAGGACATTTTCCCATCTAGGCAAACTTGGGCTTTGGTTTTTGGTGGTTTTATGGGGCAAAGAAGATAGAAATGGGGTGTGGCTGGCCCAAAGTGGAGATGCTAACAGGAAATTCTCACCAAGTTACATTGGAACTCCACAAAGAGCTACACTCTCAGAATAGAGGTGAAGCAGAGCTAAACCCACCCCCTCCCCACTTATGGGACAGCAGAGAACATTGTTCTGGCTCTAAGTAGAACAGGGAGAAACAGGGAAACAAAACCCTGCCCCTGAGAAGTGGCCATGGACAATCCCCATCGTGGGCTTCCAGCCCAGTTTGTCACTTGAGAGGACGGGGGAAGCTCGGGCTGGGACCTTGGCCAGGGCAAGTCGTGCTTCCGGGTGCCCAGCAGAAGCAAGCACACGCTCTCTTTGTGGGATGGCAGATCTACACCAGGCCTCGAAAAATCCCCCCAAAGAATTTTTCAAGGGCAAAGAAGAGAATGCAGTTAAAAATAATCAGTTAGACAAGAATCTAAAGTGCAATGAAAGAGAACCAGTGCGGGGAGATGGCAAGGACTAAAGATACTGGAAATATCAGTCACAGGTTAAAACGTCCAGTTTGAAAATTTCTGCAAAAAATAAACTATCTTAAAGATTTTATTTATTTATTTGTCAGAGAGAGAGAGGGAAAGAGAGAGAGAGACCACACAAGCAGGGGGAGCGGCAGGCAGAGGGAGAAGCAGGCTGCCTATTGAGCAGGGAGCCTGATGCAGGGCTCTATCCCAGGACCCTGGGGATCATGACCTGAGCCGAAGGCAGACACTTAACTGACTGAGCCACCCAGGCGCCCCGAAAATAAGAAACTATTTTAAAAATGACCTAAAGAGTTGAAAACTGGCCAATAAATCTTCTAGAAATGAATATATATCAATGAATGTGAATATATAATACATAATAATATATATGATATGAATATATAAATATACATATATGTAATATTGTATATATATATATATACCCACATATAATAGGGATGGATTTAACAACAAATTAGACATAGTTGAAGAGATGATTTGTGAACTGCAGTTCAGGTTAGAAAAAATTATCCATAATGTAGCACAGGGAGGCAAAAGATTGAAAATTCAAAAGAGAAATTAATAGAGTGAAAGGATTTCACATGTATTTAATTGCACTACCAGAAAAAGAGGTGAGAATAGTAATGAATGAAATACACTGACTGGTGGTCTCCTAGTCAGCTAGTTCTGCTAACAGAATGCTAATTCAGAGATTGAAGAATCCCAGTGAAATTCAAGCAGGAAAAATAAAAAGAACTCTATCTCTGTGAAATCGTAGAATATATGAGACACAAGAAAAATCTCAAATGCAGTTAGAAATCAAAAGACAAATTACCTTTAATGAAGAGACTGATCGGCCATTGATTTCGCATAGCGGTTGGAGTCAGAATACAGTGATGTGTTTATCTTCATGTGCCGAAAAGAAAACAATTGCTAACCTGGAATTCTATACCCAAGAAAAATGTAATATAGAAGTATTAGTATAAAATACAGATATTTATAGCCAAACAAAAGCTGAGGGTTGGCAACCAACTGAATCTTTCACTAAAGGAAATCCTAAGAATGTACTTCAGATATGATCCCGCATAGAAAACCATAGTTTTAAGAATGAATGAAGAACAAAGTGGTAAATATGTGGGAAAACCTATGTGATTTTTACTGTAAACAATGATGATGCTGTCTCGTAGGGTTAAAAATAAGGCAGGGGGGGTGCCTGGCTGGCTCAGTCAGTAGAGCATAGGACTCTTGATCTTGGGATTGTGCATTTGAGCCCCACACTGGGTGTGGAGCCTACTTAAAATAAAAAAAAATTAAAAAATAAGGTAGAAGTACAGTGTACACATTAATAATAGCATATAAGTTGGATGGGCAGTAATGAAACAATAACACTGTAAGGTCTTTATATTTCCTCCCTGACAATTTATATGGAAGCACAAAAGCTAAGAGTAGTCAAGACACTGTTGGGGCACCAGGGTATTTCACTCGGTTATGCATCCAACTCTTGATTTCAGCTCAGGTCATGATCTCAGGGTTCTGGGATCAGGACGCATCAGGCTTTGCGCTCAGTGAGGAGTCTCCTTGAGGATTCTCTCTCCCGTTCTCCCCCCACCCCTTCTATCTCAAATAAATAAATAAATAAATCTTAAAAAAAAAAGTATAGTAAAGACACTCCTGAAGAGGAATAAAGAGGGCTAAGGTGCTCTACCAAATGGAAACTTAATTTAAAATAGTAATAAGTATGACAGTGTGGTATTATCGCAGGAATATAATTAGACCAGTGAAACAAAACCGAAGGCCAAGAATCAGATCCATGCAAGTGGCGCTGCATATACTTGAGGAAAATTAAGAATTGCATCCAGGAGGACTCTAAGGTTCTCATCCTGAGTAATCAAAAGCTGGAGTTCTCCCTTCCTGGGATAGGGAGGAATTCTGGAGTTGCCTTCATGATGGATATAAACTTGCAGCTCAGACTCCTCCTAGACAGATGGTACTGGTGGTATTTAAAACCATGAGATTGTATGAGATCACAGGGGTTGGGGGGCAGATAGAGGAAAGTCCAAGAGTTGAGTTCCAAGACGCTGCCATGTTGAAGTTTGGGAGCATGAGGAGGATCCAAAACACGAGATCAAAAGGAAAGCCGGGGGAGCATGTGGAGTCCTGGAAGCCAAGAAAGTATTGCAAGGGGAGGGCAATCAGTTATGTCAGATGCCAGCGATAGCTTGGGCGAGGAGAGGACTGGAAACAGAAGCTTGTCTACTATCTGAGAGAGGAACTGGCATCATCTGCATCACTCTCAGCAACAAATAGGTGACCACGTCACCACTGACAAATACAGGCATACCTTTATTTCATTGTGCTTCATTTTACCGCAGTTTGCAGGTATTGCATTTTTTACAAATTGAAGGTTTGTG